GATCATTTATATGAAAAACAAGTTGAAGAATTGGAAAGCTAACGATGTCATGATTTTAGGTGGCTCTTATCTGCATATACATTGATCAGCACACATAGTCAATTCGATTGTTAAAGAATGGTTGAAAGAGTTTTATCCAATTATAGAAAGTATTCGCAATGTGGTCAAATACTTTCGATCATCTCCTTCCCGGTTAATGAAATTTAAATGTTGTATCGAAAGGGAAAAGATTGCATGCAAAAAACTTTCTGTTTTAGATGTGCCTACAAGATGGAATACAACATTCTTAATGTAAGATAGTGCATTGAATTTTGAAAAAGCTTTCGAAAGAATGGTGGAAGATGATGAATTTTATTGTAAATATTTTGATGAGACTGAAGGTGGAAAAGCAAAGGAGGGTCCACCTACAAGTTATGATTGGGAGAAGGGTCGAAAATTTGTCAAGTTTCTAAGAACCTTTTATGATGTCACATTGAAGTTTAGTGCTTCATTGAGTGTTACTTCCAATCTTTACTTTCAAGAAGTTTGTAAAATTGAGCAAATTTTGAAAAAAATGGGTGAAAAGCAAGATTATTTGCTAAGTAGTATAGCAAATAGCATGAAGATTAAGTTCGACAAGTATTGGGGTAATGTTGATAAAATAAACAAGATTTTGATTGTAGCTGTTGTGCTTGATCCTAGGTATAAGTTGGAGTTTGTTGTACATTGCATTGGTATCTTGTATGATTGTGTTAAGGTTGAAGCCATAAAAAATGAGGTCATGAAATTATTGAATGCTTTGTATAACCAATACAAAGGATGTCATTGTNAAGGCTAGAAAATTTGCCAAGTTTCTAAGAACATTTTATGATGTCACATTGAATTTTAGTGTTTCACTGAGTGTTACTTCCAATATTTACTTTCATGAAATTTGTAAAATTAAGCAAATTTTGAAAAAAAAGAAGGGTGACAAGCAAGATTAGTTGCTAAGTAGTATAGCAAATAGCATGAAGATTAAGTTTGACAAGTATTGGGGTAATGTTAATAAAATAAACAAGATTTTGATTGTAACTGTTGTGCTTCATCCTAGGTATAAGTTGGAGTTAGTTGTACTTTGCATTGGTATCTTGTATGATTGTGT